CAAGCAAGCAAGCAAGCAAGCAAGCAAGCAAGCAAGCAAGCAAGCAAGCAAGCAAGCAAGCAAGCAAGCAAGCAAGCAAGCAAGCAAGCAAGGAAGCAAGGAAGCAAGGAAGCAAGGAAGCAAGGAAGCAAGGAAGCAAGCAAGGAAGCAAGGAAGCAAGGAAGCAAGGAAGCAGGCAAGGAGGCAAGGAAGCAAGGAAGGAAGCAAGCAAGCAAGCAAGGAAGCAAGGAAGCAGGCAAGGAGGCAAGGAAGCAAGGAAGGAAGCAAGCAAGGAAGCAAGCAAGCAAGGAAGCAAGGAAGCAAGGAAGCAAGGAAGCAAGGAAGCAAGGAAGCAAGGAAGCAAGCAAGCAAGCAAGGAAGCAAGGAAGCAAGGAAGCAAGGAAGCAAGCAAGGAAGCAAGGAAGCAAGCAAGCAAGGAAGCAAGGAAGCAAGGAAGCAAGGAAGTAAGGAAGCAAGGAGGCAAGGAAGCAAGGAAGCAAGGAAGCAAGGAAGCAAGCAAGCAAGCAAGCAAGCAAGCAAGCAAGCAAGCAAGCAAAGAAGCAAGGAAGTAAGGAAGTAAGCGTCCCCGAGCCAATCCAAAGCCCTAAGCCAACCAAACCGCACCAGTCTACACTTCTGCACGTTAAGCCAGTCCCGCGAGCCCTCCCTGAACTCTAAACCACCCCAAATGGATTGAGATCTGCATTCAGCCATTGTCTTCAATCCGCTAAAAGGAAAACAAACGCAAAACAAAACTGCACGCAAAACGATTCTGGCCAGCTTTTGGGGTGGTCTAGCAAAAACACCAAAGCCTCATGGCTTTCCCGTTGCGAACCCGGCCCGCCTGCGGAAGGCCACAAAGCTCAGGCGGCTGGGCCGGAAGGGGCTGCCAAACAAAGCCACCTGTGGCGAAGCGTGGCGCACCAAGAATGCCACGCACGCGAAATCAGGGCCTGAAAACACAGATGGTACAAATAAGGTTTAGGGTTTAGGGCCAGCGGGAAGGTGTGCGGTCATGGCCACGCCCATGGTTCATAATCATACAAAGAATCGACACATTCCCTGCAAACACTCAAAGCTGTCATGGGGCAACCAGGCCTTGATCTTACGTAACCGAGACGGGCGCCCCAAATGCAGACATCAGCAGAGTTCTCAACAAATGAGCAGGGATCCTCCTCAATTCAGATCCTCCAAACACCTGCTCTGTACAAAACCACGCCTTCCAGCGCATTGCAAGCGCAACTCTTGGGGCACATTGCACGATTCATCCCAGACCCTTCCTTACTTCCAACTGTTCTTGAAGCATTGAGCCCCCGCCCCCCACCCAATAAAATCGACGCCTGGCTGCCGCTGAGGTCCAGCTCCCTCAACTCCGGCAAAGCCAGCCACTGGTGGAGGTCCAGCATTCTGCGCAAAGGGGGGTGGGTCTTGAAACAAACCCCGAGATTCTTGCCATTGGACGATTCTTTGGTTTGCACGTCCCCCGCTGTGGCTAGTTAGCAAGCCAATTGGCAAGCTAATGCAAAAGCTAAAACCAGCTGCAAGCTCGGTAGATAAGCATGTGCGGCACAAGCCCCATGACTCTCCCAAAATGTTCCTATGAAGACTGTACGTTTACATAATCTCTCCAAGCCCGCCTGCCATTTTGTGTTATCCCCGTGCATCTCAAACTGGGGGCATCCGTCAAGCCAACCATACGAGCCGAAGGTTGCCTTGGTTCTGTCGGAAATTTAGGGAGTCCCCCGACCCGAATATCCACCCTTTTGCTCTGCTGTTGCCTTGTTTCGAAACCGGTCAAGTTTTTTGGGTTCTCAACCGCCACAACTTCGAGAATCGGAGCCCTTTGCATTCCAAGCATGACCAGAAACCTCCATCCACTCTCAGCGCCCAGATTCCTGATCTGCTGCGCGTCCAGCAGCGCCATGCGCCGTAGGAAGGGCAAAGGCCGGTCGCAGGCCCAGGTGCCTTGCAGGGACTGCAGCGAATCCAGGCGCAGATCCTGGAGGTGCCTGCAAGGGTTTCAGCTGGCGCAGTGGGGCGGCGCAGTGGGGCGCAGCGGGAAAGGATGAAACAAGGAACAAGGGGTGCTCAATAGATTGCAGTGTTAGGTAGAACGGTTCCTTGGAAGGTGTTCTTTTTGGGAGTGGGCATTGGTTTGAGGCGAACTGCCAGATATTTTGACTCCGAGTGGTGAACACCCAAACTGCGTGGATCGCCGGGGATCTGGTTGCCCTCCCTCCGGCCCGCCCGCCTGAACCCCGCCAGCTTTGCACACACCTCCCCGGCCCTCAGCTGCACCTCCTAATGCAACCAGTGACCCGAGCTGCTTTGGAACCATTTTACGTTGGGCTTGCAAGTTCGTGCGGTTACAACCCCACACAAAACAAGAAGGGGCTTGGAGGGCACTAACCATCGTCCTGATGCCAATGCACCGAAAGGTTCCGGAGATCCAGCCAACGTTTCCCATGCATATTCCGCTCCGCCGCGCAGGGCAGCAAGTCCCACCAGATGTTGCGGGCATCCACCCGGATTCCCACGTCCGTGTGGGTGGCCTGGGCCTCCAAACAAACACCCCCTCCAACAACACACCAGAAACATGGGCAACACCCCTAAACGACCCCGACACACACCGCACCCAACACCCCGCCCCGCTCCACCCAAAACCCCGAAGGCCAGCCTGGCAGCTATCCTGCTGTTGGCCAAAGCACGCGCCGTCCTCCGTTGTTGAAGCGTTTGCGCGCCACGGAAGCCCCAGCTGGTCGCCAAAGGGCCCCACGTCCGCCTGGCGCAGCACCAGCCCCAGGATGGCCCTCGAAGAAGATTCCTCCGCGAGCATAAAGCGACAAAGCCGGGAAACCGGGGGGAGGTTTTGTTTGCTGGGCAGCAAGCGACACTCCCCCGCACCCTCCTCAAAGAGGGAAGAGTATAATGTGTTGCGGGATGCTCGAGAACCAGGGAGAGTGAAAAGCTTAAATGTTGCAAACGATCGAAATGTTTCACCGATTTTGAGTTAGGACCCGGGGATGTTCCATATGATACTCATACGTTCTAAAAGGAAACTGGGCCAAACCTGAAACATGTCACTTCTCCGGGTCCAAATGTAAAATTAGCTTACACATTTAGAATACTTTCAGGCCCACTATGCCGCCAAATATGTTAGTTCCCCCAGTCCAGATTTGAAAGTTATCCCATATATATATATATAGAGAGATACCCAATATGTTTAATATGTTGAGTCCTCGGCACAAGACTTAACATGTTTAAAATAATGAAAATACTGTCGGGCCCCATTCGGCTTCAATAGCTTAACTATATATCCATCGTTTCGGGCCCATTTTAGCTTCAATTCTTCGACTTTGTCCCTGGGCCAGGCTTCTGCAGTTGGGGCCGATTTAAACCCTCATCTATTTTGAACCTGGCCGGCGATTAAAATCCCCGGGTCTAAATCTAAAATATTCAACAAACGCCAGTCCCAATTCGGAATGTGTCATTTTCTAAAACCCCCAGCCCAGATATGGAATACTTAAAAATAATGTCGGGCCCAATTCGGCTTAAGTATTCAACACACAATCTGGGTTGGTGTCTTGAATATGTTAAATCTCCGGGCCCAGATTTCTGGAGGAGGCGTCGGCTTAAAGATATTACACCTAGACCCTGGCTGTAGATATTAAACTAATTGAACCGAATCAATAGTTTAGCCGAATAGGGCCTGAAACTATATTTAAGTGGTTTCCTACAGTTTAAGTAGCTTGAATCTCAACCGGAAGAATCATAATGTTTAAGATACTTGTGTATTTTTAACATTACTCATGTTGTTCGAGGCCCTGAAGCATTTCTTTTAAGCATGTGCCTAATTTAAATATCCAAATTAGTTTCTTGAAAGTTCTTAACCCCGAACAAGGGATTTGAGCGCGCATAACCCAAGTTGTTTGTATTGCTTACTTCATTTGAACTCTTTGAATTATCTTGTGAATCTTCCAAGAATTGGCAAAGAATCTTGGAGAGTATTGTGTTTAAATTGTGGTAGGCTCCAAAACGATTGAGCCCTGACAAGTTTTGCAAAATGATCTAACCTCAAAATGTAAATCGTTTACTTCGTACTTCGGCGTGACTTATTCAGTTTAAGAATTGGCCCCGATGGAGCCATGGAAGTTTATCAAGTATGTGGAGGCCCGGGGAAACGCAACCTAGTTTGACAAATGTGTTTTGAAACTGTTTAAAACAAGCCCGGCTTGGGAATAACACAAGCAATCAAAAATAATAATTTAGTTCTCGTTGTTCAGGGTCTCCGAGAAAAACACAAACTTACGTGGACGAGATGATTAGGATACTCTGAAAATGCGACGATCTTTCCAATTATTCCAATTCTAATGAAGCCAACAAAATCGGGCTGCGTGTCTTCGTCCTGTTCTATGTAGCACAATTAAATAGAACCACTCCAACACTGAGTTCAACACATCTGCAATGTCGCAAAGGGCGCCCGTCCCTTCGGAAATAAGTAGAGTAACCATGACAAGTACGTCTTGGCAAACATGAACAGTCACAGAAGTTAAAACAAAAAGAAAATCAACCAGAACTGGATTTCCCGTGCCTTTGGGAATTATTGGAAGAACGAATTTTTCATGGCGCAGCAAGGGGCATTACCAACACCCCGGAGAAGCAGATCCACAATCCATCCCAGTCCCCCTCAGCATCCCAGACCACGACACCAGGACAAGCTGTGACATCCACGAATTCCATGGCCCACCACACCGGCCGCCACTCCCGCACCCATCCCCTCAAGGCGAACCCGCGACCACAGAGCAACCAAACGCAAGAACCCGGAGCCTGTCCAGCAGCTATCCGTTGACCCTCCCACCAGCCTCACAGACAAGGTGTTCAAGGCCTGGCTTCAGGAACGTACCCTGTCTAACCAGCCCGCGGTGCTTTACATGTACGGCAAGTGAGTAGTCGGCCCCAATGAGAAGGAGGCGTCATCGCCATCATGTACGGAAAAGCGCAGATGCAACCCTGATGTCGAATCAATACTTTCAGTTGGCTTGATTCTTGTTTTAAGTGATTGCCTCTCCTTTTTGGACCTTCTGTGTTGGTTCCCCTTCTTTCTGTTGACAAACCCCGGAAAAAGTCCGGTCGATCACATTGCTATTGCACTGCGCAGCGGCTCTCTATTTCGCCGCCCAGCCACGATCCCTGCAGCCGTATGGTATTCGGCTGTTATCAGCCCAGATGCACAGTTCCTACACCAGTACTTCCTCCAGCTCGAGTCAGGGGTGGTCCACGCGGCATCACGTCAAAACATACGCGTCTGGAATTCCCCAAAAAGGTACCTTGTTCAAAAAGCACCCGTCCCTTGGCAAGAGAATTAGCACAATCAGAATAGCAACCAACCCGTTTTGTAATTACACTAGCTAAACCATGTACCACAATTAGCAGGAGTGGCCTTGGACTTCCTTACAAGACCTGGCCTATTGAAAATAATTGGAATAGTTAGCTACATCTGTGAGAATAGCACAAACATGAAGCCCCTAAAAAGGCAGAGAGCAGGACGCTGCGCTCCACGTTTTCTGAACATGTTTAGCAGAATTCTTCACGTAGACTTACACATTATGCTTTCAATTTGAATGTAAATTTCAGTCGACAACTTGGTCTTACATGCTGACTGAATTGTGAATGGTGTTGATCGGAGGAAACTCCTGTGTAAATTCTTTTTCGAAACAGAAGAAGGTCAAATCTAAATTCTAATCTAACATTGACACTATGTTTGGATGATGTCCTTATTTCTATTATACTTAGGGTAAACATGTGGCCAAGACATCCAAGGGACAAAGGGGGAAGAATCTTGGGCCTGGCTTCCTTCTTGAAAAATTCCAATCTTGGGCCCGGGGCTCGGCTCAAAAAATGCGGCCTGGCTTTTCAAGAGGCGCGCACGCTCGGCATCGCTGCTCGCAAGCCTCTACAAGGACGCAAGTGGCCAAGATCTGGCGATGCCGACAGACAAGCATACTTTGACAACGCACAGCTCAAAAGCTGCTGTGTGTTGCGATGGCTGGCACGGCTCAAAAATGCGCAGCCTAGCTTTCCAGGACGGGCGGGTTTTTCTCTCACCGAAATATGAGCTGCACCTTATTTCTATTGCAACTGGGGTCAACATGTGGACAAGACATCCAAGGCAAAACCAAGCCGCTCCTCAACGCACAAGACACAAGGCGCATGTTTTCCGTGACAAAGGTCATGTGACCCTGAAGAGCCTCCCGAGGGAGGGCCTCCCCAGATGTGGTCTTGCATGTTTCACGTTGGTTCAGGTTTTCTGTGTGCTTCATGATGTGCGATCGTTGTTGGGGTACTTTGCTCAAATCAAGCTGCAATTGCTCCACTGCGCCAAGTCAAAGGAAACTGCTGCGGCAATTGTGGGGCCCGCGAAGCAGGAGCGAGAAGCCAAACCTTCTGTGATTCCTAAGTGAGGTGGTTTAGATCACCAGTGATGTGGAGGGCAACCCAGTCTCCCAAATCAAGCAAGAATTTTGGAGGTTCCAAAATGTAGGAAAGTGCAATTGTTTGCTAGCTGGGCCTAGTAAAGCCTTAATAAGCTTAAGGGCTAAAAATGGTGGGGAGGCCCCCCCCAAAAAAAAAAAACTACGCAGCGGCACGCTTTTCACCCCGCCCCCTTCCCCCCCTTCCTCTTTCCCCCCCCCCCCTCCGTTCCATCCCCTCCCTCCCCTCCCTTCCTCCCCGCCCGCACGCCTCTTACTTCTATGTTCTAGGATTCGATGCAATTGGCCAGCCAGCGGTCAATGCGTCAATCTGTTTCAAATGTTTCTTCATTGACAAGGGGCTTCATAACGATTAACTGCTTAGTAAGGCTTCAGAAGCCTTGATAAGGCTTATTGAGGCTTATTAAGGCTGAATAAGCTCAACAAGGCGTAATTTGGGTTCGCCAAATATAGATACGGCTGACGTCGGTTTTGGTTGTTGCCGCTTGGAACCGTAGTTGTCTGGGTGTCAAGAGGTCTGTTTTCGCCTGGCCACAAGGGGCTGCACCTTTTGACAACCAACATCCTTCTGACCGCGTCTGCAAACTGGTTTTTCTTCTTACCGGCTGGACGTATAACTGCGTTTTCGAATGTCTGCAAGGCTCGGTTTCAAATTTGATTTTTCCAGCTGTGCCTGGAAAAACACGGAGAGGCGAACGAATGCCGACAGATGAGGCATTTGGTGAACCAGTTCGTTCACAGCGTTGTATGCCCCTAGAGATGAACAGCCGTAAGAGCGTGGAGCTGGAGGGTGTCTCATGATTTGGCTTGCAATTGGACGCAGCGGCGGCTAGCGGACGTTCCCAGGAGTTGGCGGCCGCCACGACTGGGGGCGGCCGCGATTGGGCGCGGCCGCCGCCGAGCTGGAGCTCTTCGTGGACTGCGGCTGAATGGCGGCTGACAAAAAACAATGAATTTTGATCTTGGGCTGCTATCTGGAGTGACCTCTGTTTATGGTTTGGTATGAATACTTGAAGGAGTGGTTGGACTT